CGTAAATATTATATTTTAACAACATATGTTGAATTTGATTGATGCACTGGCATGAATACATATTCTAATTAAAAGAAAAATCGTATTGTAAGGTTATCGTCAACATGAAAAGTATCAATAAACATACGTGCGATCAATGCCCGTATATCTAGTGTTAATAGTCACGTTATCAATTACATTTCATATAATTTACGTCTTTTTGAATTTCTAATTTGTTTTCAAATTGCAGAACGCGTAAATATTATATTTTAACAACATATGTTGAATTTGATTGATGCACTGGCATGAATACATATTCTAATTAAAAGAAAAATCGTATTGTAAGGTTATCGTCAACATGAAAAGTATCAATAAACATACGTGCGATCAATGCCCGTAAATCTAGTGTTAATAGTCACGTTATCAATTACATTTCATATAATTTACGTCTTTTTGAATTTCTAATTTGTTTTCAAATTGCAGAACGCGTAAATATTATATTTTAACAACATATGTTGAATTTGATTGATGCACTGGCATGAATACATATTCTAATTAAAAGAAAAATCGTATTGTAAGGTTATCGTCAACATGAAAAGTATCAATAAATATACGTGCGATCAATGCCCGTAAATCTAGTGTTAATAGTCACGTTATCAATTACATTTCATATAATTTACGTCTTTTTGAATTTCTAATTTGTTTTCAAATTGCAGAACGCGTAAATATTATATTTTAACAACATATGTTGAATTTGATTGATGCACTGGCATGAATACATATTCTAATTAAAAGAAAAATCGTATTGTAAGGTTATCGTCAACATGAAAAGTATCAATAAACATACGTGCGATCAATGCCCGTATATCTAGTGTTAATAGTCACGTTATCAATTACGTTTCATATAATTTACGTCTTTTTGAATTTCTAATTTGTTTTCAAGCTGGTGCAATACGAGTAATGTGAATAGTGAAATTGAAAGTGTTTACGATTGGGGTTAGTTGTCGGTTTAAAGAAAGTTTGCTAAAGACGGATATTTAGTGTTTCATAATTTAAGGAACGAAAGGAACCACGTCGAACGCTGCTCTTATGGCAATGGAATTTATTACAAAGTTGCTTTCGAAATATGACAATGGTTGCACAGCGCAATGCATAATATTTTACGGTAAACATTAGCTACGATGTACGTGTATGCCTAACGTAAGAGAGTCCTTATCGTAATGATATCACCTGTAACATATCGAAATACTTTATCGTTTACATGTAAAATAGAGACAAATGGACGCGCGCTTAACCTAGGAGGATGAGCAACATTCGGGCGAACGCGTTTTTATCGATTCGACGCGGCCAACATTACGAGCAGAGATGGGCAAAATTCTTATCCAAATAAAAATTTTGAATATCGAATCATAGACAAAATCTAATTAATGATAGAATGAAATATCTTAAACGAGCAGACAGAAATTTAGATCGAAGTCACAAGTAAATTATTCTACAGTAATTTTGTCAATAGTTGAACAAATAAACTATTCTTTAGATTGCATTTCTACCAATTTATCAATCACACAAATTTACTAATTGTTGACACAAGTAAGTTGATTTTTTTTCAAAATTTTGAGAAAATAATCAACAGAAAAATTATTTCTAAAATGACCCTACGTTGATTTTATTAATCATCTATACGAACAAAACGTTGCCCAAATCTGGTTTCGGAGCGATCGTAATCGCTTCTCCCGTGAGAGTCCTCTTCGATCAGAAAAGGTTCGAGCGAACGTACGCGGGAACGATCGGGACCATATAATATATAATTTAAGGTGAGTGCGCGCGTGATACGTTATTTAAATGGCAGGAGGAACTATCTCAAAGATTGAGGTAATGAGGAAGAATGAGCTATTTAACTCTAAAATAAAATAACGTTACTCGTCTTACGTTCTACGGTTCGCCCAACGAGCACGTGAGCTTTCTCGTCGCGCGAGATGCTCACGAAAACTTAGGAGAGCTTATAATTAGGATGCACAGAGACGCTGCCGCGACAAGTCGGCGTTGTTCGTCGCAGCCGCGGAGCCTTCATGAGGATCCATTTAAATTAGTTTCGAGAGAATCCAAAAAATATGGAGGCCCTGGCAGCTGCGACTGCTCCAAACGCTTGTTCATCGCAGAAGCGTCGCCGTGACGGAAGCACGCGACAAACACGTTCAGTCGATTCTTTTGGATCTTTCGTTGATTCGTTCGTCGCAATTATAGTAATGGTGCATTCGGTGACAGTTGCTCGTCGTTTCGGATCTTACTTCGATTTAATACGATGCTCTTTCGATCTTTAATCTCGTCGGTTCGTGAAGAACATTGCTATTTCAGTGGGAAATGGAACGTACAAGCGAGTTAGGGCTCGATGGAGGCACTGTTAGAAACACAGATCTATCCGCGCGACAGTTGGAGGCAATAATTTTCGAGTATTTGATCGACTGGTCTTCATAATTTTCCGGTATCGTGAATATATTCCTTTGTAAAGTCGCTAGTAATTATTTTGATGCGTTGGGAATAATTTAACGAAACATCTCGAATTATTTCGATTATTTCGAGGTAAAAATTTTATTTGTATGTTTGAAATTGAGTTGTGGTTTAAACGATTCGTTTTATGAAGGATCAAACTGGTCAAAATCACACAAGATTACAATCATAGTTTTTGGAAATCTAAAACTTTGGGTCGCTGAATTCAAACTTAGAGAAAAGTAAGTTGTCAGAGGAAGGATCGGGAGAGTCGTTTGACCTAATGAAGAGACCGGCATAATAGTAGCACAAAGTTGACCTAACATAGCAAGAGGCTGCCTACGCAACAGAATGGATAATGAACGTAACGCAGAGAGGCCAGCATCATAACCAAAAGGTAGCCTATACGAGAGAAAAGCAAAAACTCCAACTTGGAAAAAGACAACCTACGTGGTAAACGGTTATAAAAATCTATTCTAACATAATAAAATGCTGCCTACGCAACGGAAAGGCGAATGAACGTATTCTGAAGAGACACAGGTCATATGACCTAATTTAAAATCTAATTCACCCTGGATACTAATTTTCATGAAAAACTTCTACAATTTCAGCGTGTCGTATTGAATTCGCCACTTTGAATTTCATAATTTATTTTAAATATTTACGTTATTGCCTCAGTTTCGACCATTTTGACCCTTCGTATCTCCGAAACCTTTCTCATAGTTGATGTCTCATTGTTAACTCTCATCTAGACCCCAACAAAGTACCAAATTTGCAGGAAAAAATAATTAATTCCAGGGAAACTCTTTCGTGTAATTCACAAACACCAACGTGCAAGCGAGATTGGTGTCTTGCGTGCTACTGTGCACGCGCCTAATCGTAAATTGTGACAAATAACACACGTTAGCCGATTAACGCGATCACAAATATTACGCAACTACGCGGAGCCACGATCGAGGATCAGCTCGATAGCGGGAAACGCGATCGCCGGACGATCCGAGGGGGCGTCTCGCTGACGCGATCGTCAAAGGCCACCGGGTAGCGCACAAAAGTTCGTACTTTCGCTACCCAAAGGAGTAACTTTCATTTGTCAAGTTTCGCAATGGCCATCGGGCATCGGTTCGAATTCCCCCGGGTCACGTCCGATCGAGTCGTCCAGCGACCTTTCCGTCTCCGGACGACGGAATCGTCACGCACGTCGACGCCCAACACGCGAGCTCCCTTAGATCCTAGAAGGACGTCCTTAAAATTAATCGTTGAGGCAGTTGCGTGTGGCAAGAGCAAAAGAATCAGTCGTTTTCTCCCGTCGATGTCGCTGCAACGCTTCGAACGAGTCATCGAGCTTTCGGCGAGTCTCTCAAAATCCTCTCTCGTTTGAGCGACATGAATAATTCATTCACTCTTGGCAGATGATACAGGTAGATGGATTTACGGTTGCGCGAGTCCTTTGAAGGAAGAGTGACAACGTTCGACTCCTGAAGAAGCCACAGTGTTGGCATTTATTTCAAAGGGCTTGAGACCAATTAAAATTTGTTGGAAGTATCCATCACCAAAAGTAAACGAGCTGTTCAGGTTGTCCACTTTAAGTTCGAAAGTATTTAATGAAAATCAATTGTGTAAAATGGAAGGTGCATCAACCGAAGTTACTAACTCGATTTAACTCGCAGAAGAGCTCGTTGAAAGTTCGCCTTCGAGCCGGATAATTCAGTTTTCTCTCAGTGATTGATGAATAATCCTCAACTCCGTATTCTTTATAATCTCAACCTCTCTGATGAAAGACTCGATCGCGAAGCCTGCGAAGGATCACCGTGACCTTTTCCAGACCTCAGAAACGACTGAGTGACGACTAACCGAAGATTACTGTCGGCATTAACGAGCTCAACCATCTCGCCTACCTGTGAAACTTAGGCGTACCGTGTGTTTATCAGAATCGTTCCCTAAATACACGTCCGACATTGAATCCTCAAACTCGTGTACCCGACGATCGCATTCTGAACACGTCGAATCCTAAATACAGCCCCTCGACTCTATCAGCTAAAATACTTCTTTCACTCGTGAGACTAACGTAAAATATTTCACGCATACCCAGTTGTTTATTAGAAGAAGTTTTGAATTTAATTTCTGAACAATTTGCTTGTTTCTAGATTGAGTAAACAGTCAAATGTAGTCTAAGGCATGTATTTTGTATATATGTGAAATTATAAGTCGATCGGTTAACTGTAAATATTGAGACATCGTGTCCCTCCAGTATGGAGGATGTTGTTTCGATGGAAACGACTATAAAGTTTCAAGAGTATACAAAGTGTTCGATTCTTATAACTTCAAGAAAATGAAGTGACCTGGACCGTGCTATCCCTTAAATACCATCGTGAAATATCTTCGACGACACAAACAAGAGAAGCATCTTAGTCGCGCCCAATCTTATTCTAATCGTTACAAAATCGAGTCTCAAAAATCGTAGTCACAGTTCGTTTCGCGTCGTCGGACGAAGAACACTACGTCTCCGTGGATCGAGCATGCACCATCGACCGATCGACAGTCGCGAGAGGTTCCTTAGATCCTAAAAGGTCCTTAAAATTACATTCTGAGGCAGTTCAGTTGGAAAGAGCGGAAGGATCAGTCATGTTGCGTCTAGTTTCGGACCCGTCAACATCCAGCAAAGTCACGCGACCGTCGACTTGCCTCCGTTACGGTTCTCTCTCTCTCTATCACCGTGTCCTCGTTCGTTCCTCACAGGGCGAGAAACTTCATCAGTGCGTCGTAAATGAGCCGAGGATTGATGGTGCCGTCTGCGGTGTACCGGACACCCCTCAAGGAACCGTCGTCGTGACTAACAACCCCGTACTCGCCGACGATGAAACCGTCAGGAGTTCTCTCCTCGACCCTGTACTTCCTGTAGTTTCTACCCTCGACGACGTAGCCCACTTTGTGGCCGTCCTCGACCTCCGACGAGTTCGAGGACTCCGTGAGGATCAGTTGGGGCCCATGCGCGTTCCCGTTGCTGCTGACGCTGACGGACTCGTCGACCTCGTAGTTGGGCTCGTCGGGTTCCCTGTCGCGATCCTGACTCAACGGTTGACCCTCCGAGTCGTAGATCCTGCTGGGTTCGCCGTACACCTTGGCTGGCTGCGAGTAGATCTTCGCTGGCTCGGAGTAGACCTTGGCTGGCTCCGAGTAAACCTTGGACGGTTCCGAGTAGACCTTCTCTGGCTCGCTGTAGACCTTGGCTGGCTCGCTGTAGACCTTAGATGGCTCGCTGTAGACCTTCGCGGGTTCGCTGTAAACCTTGGCAGGCTCGCTGTACACCCTGGCCGGCTCGCCGTACACCTTCTCCGGCTCGCTGTACACCTTGGCTGGTTCGCTGTAAAGATTGGCCGGCTCGTTGTACGGTCGAGCCGACTTGTAGTTCTTCGACGACTGGCTGTAGACCTTCGCGCCGGGACGATTGTAATGGGAAGCGTCGTAGTGTCTGCCAGCCTTACGGCCCTGAGCCTGCAGACGGTCCGGTTGGACCTCCATCGGCTCCTCGTTAAACTCCTTCGGCTCGGAGTTCTCCTCCGGCAGCTCGTAATTCTCTTCGGTTGGCAGGGTGATCATGTCCTCCGGCGAGTTACGAGCGCTGCTATTCGTCTCTCTATGGTGTTCCGTTAAGGCCACGGTGTGCCTGTTCACCGGTCTGGGTGTCACCGAACCGTGGCTCTGCCAGCTGGTGCTCGGTGAGCCCTCGTCCACCGAGAACTCGCTTCTGTTCGACTCGGACACGATGTTGCTCAGCTCCTCCGTGACGAAGCTGGAAGACGGCGGTGTTATCGTCGTCGACGATGATCCAGATGCGGTTTTCGCGGTAATCGTCGTTGTGGTTCTCGTTGCCGGATTGGCAGCCGACACTTTCGTCGTGGGAGTCCTGATCGTGGCGTTGTTCGGCTCTCTGGTCGTTTCTTTCGACGGACTTCCGGTGGACACCGGCAGTCGAGTGATCACCGCGGCGTCAGCGTTATCGTAATGCTCCACCCTGACCTTGTACGGTGTCGCCTCGACGGTGGACGTGACGCTGACGCCGATCACTTTCTGCCGACTCACCCCTTTGCTCGACGAGTTGTTGCTGGTAACGTTCGTCCTTGACTTTTCTCGAGACGCCACCGACGTGACCGTGGTGGACGAGCTCTGCGGCGTCAAACGCGTCGAGGATATGTCGCTGGTGGTACCCAGCTCGTCGATCAACGACGCCAGATTCTGTTGCCTGTTCTCCAACGTCTTGTGACTGATCGGATAGAACCGAACGATCTCGTCCCGGCCGCTCGAATTCCTTGCCCTCGAGATGATCTGCTTGTTCCCGGGATTCCGCGATATTCGGTAGATCGACGCCTCGTGCTGATGCGATTCCGCTGTCGCGCTGTCCCCGACAGACGATGCTCCGTGCCCACCGCGCCGGAAGCCTCGGCGTCTCTGCGGCGGCGTGGCCATCGCGCCGTTTATGAACACCGACAGGAACTCCGTGCCCGCGAGTATGTCGTTCCTCTTCGCTGGAGCACCGGGTACTTCGTCCCACACCAGTGCCGCCTGCAGCAGTACCTGAAACGTCGTTCATCGTTCAGTGGAATGTCAGTTTGAGATATTAGGCGGAAAAGTAGTGAATTGTATCGCAAACCCCAAATAGGATGGATGATAGCACTTGGATTTATCAATGGAGAACGTGAACGTCGCGGAAGTGTATTTGTTTATATCTCGTAAATGAATACGAATTCGTCAGAAGTAGTAAGCAGGAGGAAAGAAAAGGAAAGGAGTACTTGTGTGAGAGATATAGGTTGAGAGTGTCCCTCTGGTGGCGAGTACAGAAGATGTCGCCACGTATAGAATTCTTGATCAGAATAGTTTATCAGTTTATATCTGAGATATCGAGATGGGGGTTATTTTGATTCAATTTTACAAGAGAAATTATTTTAGTTTTGATTGTATCGCAATTATTTTTCTCTTGTGTGCGTTCTTTATGTTTTGAAAGATGAAGAAGTATTGAGGAGCTTAAAGTATGTCAGTAGAAGGTTTAAGAAGCGATTTATACAAATAGGAAGAATTATTTAGCTTTCTTCCTCCTCGAGTGAAAGTATTGCCCACGTGGAGAATTTCATTTTGCGTCTGGCTAAATCCCGGAAGCTGCAGATAGTGTCTGTTAGTGTCATCGTATTTTAGAGCCATTTTTTTCACGATTGTGTCACTGTGCAATAAAGTTTTATACAAGAAGAGTATTGTCGAATTTACGATTGGTTAAATTACAAATGTCTCCGAGAAAGAAAGCAAAGATTTTGCCTAGATTTGTACCTAATAATACTTAAGACTAAAAATCATTCATCCTGGGGAAATCACAGTAAATAAAATAAAAAAATAATAATTTTGTTTAAATTCGTTGTCAATAGTTCAACAATCGTTCAAATAAATGATAATAAACTTCATTCGTGTTGTATATTAAATATAAATTGAAAAAATAAATAAAGTGTTCTATTTTTTTAATGTTGTCTTTCTAACTCAATTCCAATATACCAATTATAGAATACGAGATGATTCACGAATGATCTGGCAACGCAAGGGTTTTACGCTTCGATTCGGAAATGGGATCGAAGTACTAAGTACGTGAAAATGTGACGATCGAACTGGAGCTATAGCGGTGCGTCAAATTGTCAGGTACGCGTCGTTGAGCGAATCGGTTGCTCCTGAAATCGTGAAGCGTCTAGCTTACACGATCGGGTGGATCGGTGAAATAATAATAAGAGCACATGCAACGAAAGCACACACGCGTGTGTAACGAATGCAAAGTTTCGAGTAGCCGCGCCATAGAGTGTAAGACTCGAACAAACTGTTGAGAGACCGTTATAGCCACGCGAAATCGGTGAACAAGTTCGTAAGCACTTTATGTTCCGAGGACACGAGGAACACGTCGGGCTGCGTTTGTTTTTTAATCCCCGCGCGAACGATAAAACGCCTTTACGTCCGTCGGTTCTGGATACGCGAAGGTCGCGCCAGGTGCATTCGAGCAATTTATAAATTACGTTATAGCCGCTGTAAAGTCTCTGAAAGGGCGCAGCTTATTACACCCGGGTATGGAAGGGGGCATCAGCTCGTGTTTCTGCTATGTCACCCTGTTATCTTCCGAAACATCTCATTTCCTAGCTCGTTTAAAACCGTCGGCCTTCGGCGAGCGTTAAAACTGTACGTTCATCAAGAGCGCAATGAATACCTCTTAAAAATGTAAAGCAGCAACGCTTGCTCGCTGAGATACGCAAATACTTATTACCGTGGAATTCGAACGTTCGCGAGTTACGAAAGTTTGTTATTTTAACTGAAAAGTTTGCGATTTCCTCGACCCTTCGGGCTCGTTAAACTCGCGGCTTTCGTTCATTTGATCTTTTTTGCGAGAAACGGGTATACGGGAAATAAAACCGGAACTTGTAATATTAATGAACGTAGGGTACACGAATAAAGCGTAAGATAATATTTTTTAAACGTTCGCTCGAGGAAGATATATCTCGAATAATTAATGGTCGCGTGAAATATTAAGATTGATAGGACAGGCAGCTTAAAGATAAATTAATATTCCTTGGATTTTCGAGTCATTCATATTTCAGCAATAACGTCGTTATTAAGAGCAATGTTATTAACCATGTCACCGTTCGTTGATTATGATGTGATCTTGTAAGATTTTCAAGGCTCGTTCCGCGAAATAATTGGGAGAAGTATTGTCCACTGTTTTCATGTTCGTTTTTATTATATTTGTACGTTGACAATATTTATGGGCGTTTGAAGGGAACGACTTTCAAGTTTCTGTCATTAAAAATTAGTAATGCACGATAAAATTCGTTTCCGAGGACCTTGTCGTTGGCGTTTATTCGACTAACGATTTTCTTCATTTTATTAACGTAAATAACTCGAGGGAACCGTGATATTCATATCGCTCTAATTGAAAGGCACGACAGGAGAGGCTGATATCGTATTTCGTATGTAAATTGATATTGCAATTTTAGTATGTACATTAAGGAATGTAGTGCAAGCAAAGAGAAATAAGTATATAATTCTACTTGGTATACCTCTTCTAAATAAACTACCATTAAACAAACAGATAACAAATGATCAAACTGGTCTTATACTTAAAAGTGCAATCTAAATAATAACACGTTTATTTCGATCGAAGCCTCGATTGCCAAAACAGAATCATTGGGTTTCTGGCAAACGACCGCCCAATTATTTAAAGAGCGTTACGACTCGAGCGTAATTATATGCCATTTATTACAGCACGTATGAGTCTTTGATACGAAATCTACAAGATGTCGTTGGAAAAGGTTAAAACACGACAAAGTAAAGTAAAGCGAATCGTCTGACGCAACGAGCGTCGGCGAACCTTCCGCGAGATTGCAAAAATTCGATTCAGAGCGCTTTACGGCGAGCCCGGACTGGATAACGCTGAAAAACCGGCAGTAAAATCTCCGGGCTCGGGAGGTACGAGCCTCTTTAAATTATTAACGGCGCTGCGTCCCGCGCTTTTGCGCCGCGAATAAACATTCTTACGCTTTTTCTGCCCTCCGTGCCCCCTTCCACCCGTTCTCGTTGTCTTCCGACCGCCGCGTCAGAGATCACGTAATAACGACATAAATTAAACCTTTATGCCCCGTAGAAAGCGAGCCGTTCGTGTACACGAAGAGTCGACCGCGACGAATCTCGTGAAATTTCGGAGCTTTTGCCGCGACAAAAGCGATCGCGCGCAGGAGATCCTCCAAGAAACCTGCGCGCGCAGAGATTGCGTGCGCATCGTTTCGCGTCCATCGCGGATGAGCAGAATGTAATGTAATTAACGATCAACAGATTATATTTTGCAACCGTTAAATGTTAACGACTATTTGGCTATTAAAAAATAGTATTTGTGATAATGAAATAGTGATTTAAAAACTGTCACTATCCAAAATTAATCATTAAATAATCACTAAACTGTATATAATCTGAATGCTTTTGTTACATTTAATTCTGTTTGATGTTAAAAATATATACTTGTTAATTTTATTATGACACGTACAGAGTTGCCCAAGGCTGAACATTGAAATATATTTTAAACTACTGGTTGTATTCGTACCATTAATTAATTAATATAGTGTGGATCGTGCTTCACACTGAAATTACACAACGAAAAGTGTTTGTTCGAATACGTTTGTCGATTTCTCGATCCACGTGGAAAACTCTGTGATAACTTCATCGTTCGGTGAATAGCGTTGCTAGTGAGAGGAGATTCGGTGAATCGAAGAAAATTAAAGGGCTCGTATCGCGCAAGGCAAGATTAATATCTTCGCGCGATGGATTCCGGGTTCGCCGGAATTAATAATCGTGACTTCGGCTCGTGCGCGCTCCCATAAATCGTGCGCACGCAACCGTGTATACGCACGGGAGATATTCGCTCGATTTATAAAGTGGTTGGCAACGTTTGAGCCGGCCAGGACTGGTCTAGAACGGTTTCCTGTTGAAAGGAGAACGCTTATCGTCGCACGGACACCTCGGATGAGGTCATTCGGTGCGCCCACTTATTACCCTTGCAGATGGCCCGCCATTCTGCCGCCCATTATACGCGCGAAATACCCGAAACGATCGCTTTTTTCGAATTACTCTTTCCTCGGGACCATTTCTTAAAGAGAAACTTGTGAGTTTAACCGTTTTTACAGCGTTTCGATTCCAACCGATACTCGCAACAGGTAATTCCGACAGGTTAGATCCGTCCCAATAACTGTCATTTTTTTTATTTTGGTTGAAAAGTATTGCATACATGCTAATAAAAATGTTTCGACGTTTATCGATGTTTTTGCTAATTTTACTGTACACTTACTTAATTGTATATAAATTGAACATAAGTGGTTATACCTTTTGTTCATTTACGAATTATATTTTATTTAATTTCTTACAATTAGGGGTGTGCAAGATTCCGATTGAGACGGGCATTTTTCTCGAGATCGGGATGGAATCCCGAGAATTTCGAAATCCCGAAAACATCCGTGATTCCTGCGAATTTTCAAGATCCCGAAGCTATTCGGGATTCCCGAGAATTTTTAAATCCCGAAAATGTTCGGGATTCCCGAAAACATCTGTGATTTTAAGACATTTTAAGTTTCTCCATACTTCCAACAATTACCAGAATCCAAAAACCATTGTGTTCTCAAAGATTACATGTCTTATTAATCGGAAATGATTATGTTAGTAATATTGTAGAAAATAATTGCAAATTTCGATAATTCTGATAATACAGAATTTTAATGTCGGTAGATATTTCTGAATGGATAGTCAATCACACAATTGTGTTCCGAGAATCTCAGATATTATTCTATATCCCGTACATTAGTATTATCCCGTATATTCTCGGGAATCCCGGATCTTCGCGGGATCACGTGTATTCTCACACATATTCGAGAATCCCGAATATTTTCGGAAATCCCGCACACCCCTACTTACAATATATTATAATTCATGCTTTTACTAAGAAACATAAAATATTTCCTTGATTTCTAATCACTCTCTGTTAGAGTTATATGAATTTGAAACCCACTGCA